CGTCATCTGCTGGGCGGAGCTCCAAGCTTTCTTTCTGAATCGGGCTGTTGTCTGATCACTTAATTCTTGTTATTTTACTTCTTTATTTTAAAAATTAAAAAATAAAAAATCTCTAGCCTGACCCTAATACTCATACTATGGACGCCTGTTTCCGCCACATGAAAGTAAAAAGTGCCAACAGAAAGTCATTATTATATTTGACTTTCAAATTTTGTACGAAGTGAGACATGACCAAAGCGCTTTACACTATATTCAGCCGTTCACGCACTGACCCTGAAATCCCACATCCTCCCTGCTAACCGCCCTGTGCTAAGCAGAGCCTAGACCAGCGGGAACCAATTAAAAATCAGGTTTGGAGATATTTTCAATTATAATCTGTTACTTTAAACAGAATTTAACACTGAAATAAAATGAGGTTTTTACTCATCCATGTTATACATAGAATTTTTAAATAAGAAAATAAAATAAATAAAAAATTTTTCCATTTTAAAATCTAAAGTTTTTTTTTTAAAGTAGAGAACAACAATCGTTCAGTTTGTTTTATAGACAATTTCCTGATTCCCATATTTTCTCAAACACCTGAACTGATGGTTTGTTATTTTCTTTCTTTTTTCTGTCTTAATGTTGGCAGTTGGCTTTAGGCTGCCGTGATGTCAGAGGTCAGAAACCAGTGAGGAAGACCTGCTTTGGTTACTGGATGTTATGGTTTAAAAGCTGCAGAAGTTCTAGAAACTAAATCCAGATTAAAAGTCAACATTTCACACAGATGATCGTCTTTGAGTCCGAATCAGCAGTAAGTAACTATTTTTCTATTCTTCATCCGTTACCATGTTGGTGAAGCTTTGGGTCAGAAATGACCCCCGACCTCCTACATTTAGAGGCCTAAAGAACAAACCTTCATGCGGAAACTTCTGGTACAGAAACGGTAAATGAGTAGAAATTCATCCAGAATTGTAGAACAATGTTCCTTTAGTAGGGTAGAGCGGTATAGCTTCAGGCCTTTAAATCTTGTACATTTATACTTTAAACAGTTTCAAAAACTTTTACTGGACTAAAATTCTGAAGTTGATGTTTTTAATCAGTAGAATTTATTCTTGTTCTGTAGTAATAAACATTTATACTTTTAGCACCTCATTCTACCAGCGTGCTTAGTGTGAGGCATTACTGAGGAGTCTATATTTACCCTTCCCTTTAGAAACCGTGCAGAGATCGGTCCGACCACGATAACCAAGGTAACTTCAGTGTAAACGGTACGCAGAACTGAACCGAACCGCGCCAGACCCAACCCAACCACGCTAACATGGTTCATCAGTAGGTCTCGGAGTGGTTCAGTTCTGGCTCGGTTCTCAGATAACAAAGACTGCATGATCAGACCGCCTCATCTCCTTACAGTCAGCCTCCCTAATCAGGAAATTTCAGACATTCCTAAAATCCTAGCTTCCCTAACGCGCCGCACGATTTCCAGTGATGATTCTGCTTAGCAGGGTGATGAACCTCAACGTCTGTCCTTGTTTCCTGCATCTGGAAGCCCTGATTAGACCATTGTTTATCGTATCCACTTTCCAAAAGCCGACTCTGTCCAGTAAATTCACCAAAGGCTGCTTTCTTCTCCTGACTCTCTGCAAACTGCCTGAATGTTTCGGGCGCCGCCATGTTGGTTTGCTTGTTTCCCTCTAGAGAGCAGTAGTACCGTAGATCGCCATTGCTAGTGTTGGGTGTAACAGGTTGTAAGGTAGTGGAAATAGGGCCAATGCGTCGATGCAGTTGGTTTTCCTTAGATAGAAAACTTTGAACCAATCTGACTGGATGATCTGGTTAAACTGTTTCTATAAAGTGACCTGAGGTGACATGATGTGAATTGGACCTATAGAAATAAACTGAATAGAATTTTTTCCGCTGCAGGTTTGTTGGAGAAATGCGTTGTTACCGGTTACTCCCCCGCCGGGTCTCTGCAGCTCAGACCCAGATGGACAGACTGGTGTCCACCCTGTGGGACAGGATCTTCCCCGGCCAGCTCTTTGGGCCGGACCACAGGCTGGACCAGGTCTTTTCCAGGACGCTCCATCAGTCAGAGCTTTTGACCCAGAACATCTGTCCGTACTACTTTGACCAGGTCGCCTGGAGCCTTCCTGCTGCGTCGCTCCGGTTGGTTCTGTTGAAAGACGTTCTGATGATTAGACGTTTGTCTTCGTCCTAAACTCAACCTCCCCTCATGGCTTTAAGGCAGGACAACCTGCAGCTGCACCACTTTGAGTCCTGGGCGGACCTGGAGAAGGAGCGGCATCGCAGGAGACTGACCAACCCTGGATCCAGACCAGACAGCGGGATCTACCTGAGCCGACTCTGTTATCTGCAGGACCTTCAGTATGAGGGGAGCATGACCACGGAAACGTTCATCCGCCTGATGTACGGCTACAGCGGCTGAACCGCCGCCTCCAGATTCAATAAAACCTGTTTGCTTTTGGACAATCAGAGTGAAATCATTAAGCTCATCATAACGGAGGAGAACTGGGTGAAGACCAGAGTCTCCATGAGGGCTTGGAGAAGGTCAACCATTCCCTCCCAGACGGCCTGAATCGGCGTCCCTCAGCCTGCCTTGCAGAGATGCAGCACAGCGTCCCTCCAGGAGTAGGAGGGAGTCTACAGACCACCAGAGTTCTGCTGAGGATCGTCTCCTGGAGGACAACATCTGGAGGTCTTCAAGCAGTGGACATCTCAGCATTCAGTCCAACATCAGAGCAGAGACTGAAAACCCTGAGAGCTCCACCTCAGCCTGTACAGGCTAAAGGTCAAAGGTCAGGACCAGTGTGTGAAATACCTTCGTAGACTGGTCAGCTTCATGACAGCCTGGAGGAGGTTTTCTGTGAGCGGGCAACAGCCTGAACAGACAGTCAGTCTATGAAAACACACACAAAGACTGTCTGTCTGTCTGTCTCTCTCTTTCACACACACATGTCCTGCTTTAATCCAGTAAATGACGAATGAAACTGGGTTGAATTTGTCCAGAGGACGTCTGTTGAGGTCCACAAACAGGAGTGAAGACCTGCTGTCTTCAAGCAATCTGTTCCGCGTCTGGTTGCCCGTATTATTTATTATTTTTTGTATTATTTCTTATTTTTATTTTTATTCTTAATGCACCTTTTTGCATCGTCTTTAATCACTATGCCAATATGTGACCAGTGAATTTCTCCACTATGAGATCAATAAAGCTCATCTAATCTAATCTAACTGCACGAAAGCTAATTAGCATACGCCAGCAGGATTAGCTGGCTCCACTTGGCAAAAAACAGAACATATTTTTGAATAAAGGTTTTGAATTTCAAATACTGGAGACGTTGAGCTTAAAAACATTTTGGTGACAAATAAAATTAATTTTTTTGACACAATTTAAGACCCCCTTTAAATTTTGCTTTTAAGGCTTCCAGGGGGTCTTATGGTTTAATCAGGGGGGAGTTGAGTACCCCCGGACCCCCCCATATTTCGCACTCTGGTCAGGACCCTGAACTAGCTAAGTAGGACTGAAGGAGAACATCTGTCTAGAAACAAGATGGCAGCAGGAGAACCAGGAGATGATTGATGATGGACAGAGCAAAACACGGGCGATCAGCAGAAACGCCTTGAGGACCTGTTAGGCACGGCAGTGGAGGGATGGTGATGTGGGCCTGTTTGGTGTGTGCAGTAAATCCAAGGATTCTTCCCTTCACTTTCTTTAATCAACCCATGAAAACGCTGCTAACAATTGATCTGATTAATTCATCCGTCCGGGTTTTCATCAACGTTCCGAAGTATCGCATTTTTTAGCAGAGTAAAACTCTAAGGCAGGGGGCGTCAAACTGGTTCCAGAAAGAGCCGTGCAGCTGTGTGCTATTGCTTTCCAACCAAGCAATACCACACCAGACTCCAGTCAATCATCATGTTGATGCTGAACTCACTAATGAGATGACTGGAGTCTGGTTGCTATTGCTTGATTGGAAAGCAATCGCACACAGCTACACGGCTCTTTCTGGAACCAGTTTGAAACCCCTGCTGTAAGAAGGAAGCGTGCTCTAATAGGTTCTCAGGAAACGACCGTCTGCATGACTGATCAACCACTTCCTCTAAAGCAACAAAATTCACTCCATACTGAAGACATTTCTCATACAACCTGCTGTTTTTATCAAATTTAAAATAAACTGCAGCTCATGTTCAGAAAGGAAATCTTTATTCTATTGAAGACAAGGGGGCCGAACTAAAACGAGAGTAAATAAAAACAGGAAGTGAGAGGAGCCGTTTCTAAGGAACCATTAGCACTCAGATGTTAAATCATTTATTATTCTGCTCTGGTCTCAGTTTCCAAACATGGCGTGACTCGACCTCTGCTTCCGGCCCGTTCTGGTTGCTACTGGAAACCAGTCTGATTTTCATTTTCTATGTTTGGTATTTAAAATCTAATGATAACTGGGCGGAAACGCGGCCTGATTGGAGCCACAGATCAGGAAAAAAAATCACATCAAATCCTTTCTTTGGAAAACGTCTTTATTTCTTATTTTATTAACACCTTGTTTAATGAGCACACAGAAACAAACTATAGCTACAGTCAGGGTCTGATGCTGAAGGAAGCAGCAGAAGTCATGGCTGCGTGTCTGTGGGCGGAGTCAGGCCTGACCAGGTTATAAATCCACTCAGACGAACGGACAGAGATCAGCGTCCGTCAGACGCCTTTCAGCGCGACGCTCTCTACTTGTAGAACTCGTGCTCCTGCTCGTCCTTCTTGATGACCGTCTTATACGCTTTCTCAAAGTCTTTGGCGAGGACGATGTACCTGTTCTCGCGTACAGCCAGCATGCCGGCCTGAGGAGAGGAGAAACGGATGAACCAGAACCGTCTGAAGGGTTAAAAGCATCAAACGCGCTAAGCGTCGGCTCACCTCCTGGCAGATGGAGTTGATGTCGGCTCCAGAGATCTTATCGGGTCGGGCGACGTCTGCGCAGCAGTTAAAGACAAAACCAAGAAAACATTTACCCCCCCGAAACAGGAAACCCCCGACTGGGAATCCCCAGCAGCAGCTGCCTCAGGCCCGCTCGCCTCTCCAGGGTTTTCCCCTCCTGTTGGTGGCGGCTGGAAGTAGATGTTAGCGTTTTTCAGGTCTGTGCTACAAACTGCAGGCAGCAGGATAATAAAAGCCAACATATTCTGCCGGCAGGTTTCTACATTTGAAGTTAATTTAGGCGTTAATAAACTGTTTCAGAGGAGTGATCATAGCGCTCTGCATCAGCAGTGCTGCGTCTGACTCCCTGCCAGCTCCCAGATCAGCTTCTCTCATTGGTCGATGTCCAGCAGCTGCTGCTGGTGAAATATTGAACATTTGAGCAAAGTTTCTGGGGGAAATTAGGGCGTACCAAAGCCGTACATTCCGGAAACAGGAGGTAAAATGTCCACCTTTCACTACTGATCCGTCCAAATAGATAAACATCCAGGTCGCCATAAATAATGTAATCCTGATTCTAAAACTACTTATTTCCATCCTTAACTTTCTAAAGAATGCTAATAAACATCTTTAAAAATGATTTTATTACTTTTCTGAGACAATTTTAATGCTTTTGCATTTTCTCCGTTAACCAGCTTCTGTGACATCATCATGGGACACGACCAGAGCAGTAAATCTGATTAAATCATGTTTATCTGCATTTTAGATTACGCACTATATATCGTAATGTTAACATGAAAGGAAAACATTAAACTCAAAAAACCTAGATTAATGCTTAAGTCCAAAGGTGATAAAGTTAGCTCCTGGACGTAGCGTAGCATCCCATTTCCTGTACGGATCAGGAACAGAGGATAAAATAAAGGATTTTAATGCATAAATTTTCTAAGGAAATACATTAATAACCTTTAACTAGTGTTGCATTGATACCAGTATGGGGCGGGGCCCGGACAAAACCATGATGGCGATTATTTTACAAAAAATGGCATCGGCGCAACACTACCTTTAACACATTATAATTTAGTACGGCAACTATTTCTAGGGAGGGAAAAATGGAATTTAGGTGTTTTTAACTAAATAAAATCTGGATTCGTAAATGAGCTGATGGCGCAGGAAGGACCGGGTAGTGACGGCCCGTACGCATGGCGAGCTAAAAGCCTGGCTGTGGAGGCGCTGCAGAGACGATGGAGGAACAGAGAAACGATTCCTGCTTCTCGTTAACCGGATTCTGACGCTTCGCGCGTCTGACTCCCCGTCCTCCATTCCCATCGTTCCTCATCTACCTTCCCTGGTTCTGATTTTAGCTTTGCAGAAAACTCTGAACTGGAAGGTTAATTATTGTTAAATTTAAACTTCCTCACAGCGTCCAGATAAAAAGTTAGAAAAGAAAAAATGGTCGATTATTTTAATGTTTGATATGGATCACCAGAATAAAATCCTATTTATGACGTAGTAACAATTTTATGACCTATAAAAGACACTGTAACAGTAGTGGTGGTTTTAGTTCATGTTTTCACCACTAGAGGTAGCTGTGGTGCCTTTGATGCCATAAAGAAGTTCAGCTTTTATTTTTAACTGCAATGAGATTAAAGAAAGACAGATTTATTTAAGTCAGAAGCGCCTGGGCTTCCTGCGGAGGATGAAGAGGACCAGCAGGTTCTGCAGCAGCTTCTTCCCCACCGCCATCACACTGATGAACTGATGAATAAATAGGTTTTATTTATAAAAAAAAATAATTAATGTTAGAACTGTAAATATAGTCATAGGTTTGTATTACTGTTTTTTATGTATTTCTTGCCGTTTTCAAGGCGGCACTTTAAAACAGATCTACACCATTTCATTTTTTATACGGAGTTTACACGAGTGTATACAAAATGACAAATCAAATCAATCTAAGTTTAAGAATCTAAGTTTACAGTGACGTCACTTTGCGTTTTTCGTCCATCTAGGCAATAAGTGATGCAAACGGATTCAGCAAGAGCAATTTAGAAGAAAGAAAAGAGTTTTTAAGCTGACAGGTTTGTCATCTAGCAGAACAAAGTGCTATCTTTATTATTTTTAGCTTTTTAATTGTATATTTTGTACAAATACAGCAAGTAAACTAATTTTGTGTTTATGCTCTATATGTTTCAGTTCTACGGCGTACATGTGGCGTAAAGCAAGATAGAAGAGCACAGTAAACATCAGTTAGAGGAACTCTGGAGTCGTTGCTGTGTGGATAAACCGGCATAAACACGTTTAAACCAATTACAGCCTTAGTTCTAAACTGAAGAATTAAAAGATTTTAAGAGTTTTTCAGGATTTCCAGAAACCCTGAGAAAGGATACAGTCCTCCAGGTCCACCTCCTCCGACAGGTTCATCTTACTGGTGATGGTGGAGAAGATGAGGCGTTTCTGTCTGCGGTCGGGCAGCGGGAACTCGATCTTCCTGTCCAGGCGGCCCGGGCGCAGCAGGGCGGGGTCCAGAGTGTCCGCCCTGTTGGTGGCCATGATGACCTGAGGGAGCAGATCAGGGTGATGAAGGCAGCTGATTAGAAAATTAACCCTTTATAGCGCACTCACAGAAATACTTTAAAAACATCTAAATTTCCATCTAACAGTGTTTCTGGAATCCAAGTTAGACCCATTACCTTTATAACGTTAAAAAATATATTTTGATGGTAAAAATGAATGTCAGTGTAATAATAGGAAACGCCCAAATTTATTAAGAAAAATAACTAAAGCGCTTCTAGAAGAAATAAAATGAAAAACACAGAGAGAAAGAAACATTTGCTTTTAGAACATAACTTTAGATCAGTGTTTCCCAACATTTTTTTTTTTTTTAATCGAACCATAAATTCCTCCCTGGTTCAAACATGTTGATTATTTTCCAAAGATAGAAAATATAACAGATTATAAAATTAATAAATATTTAATTGCATTAACTTGCACATTTGATAATCAGACATTTCATTATTTTCTATTAGAATAAAAAATAACACATGTTGCCTGGAAAGGGAGTAAGTTCTAAAATAAATATAACATCTAATCAAGTTACAAATCTACAAATTGGAGCTAATCTGAATAATTAAACAAATTTAAACTTGAGAAATCAGGACGAGACAATAATATTCTCTCATTTCTAATTTATCATCATCGCTCACTGCTGATAAGGAAAACAGTTTTAGCCTTTTATCCTCGACTGCAGCTGCTTTCTTCTCTCGTGACCTTTGCCCCTGACAGCAGTAGTGCATATTTTTTTTTTTGTTGGTTGATAAAATCTTGGTTTATTTTGCATTGGGGTCCTTATAGAGCAAAACTCATCCCAGACCCATTTTATTATCTTTCTTTATCTAGAAAGTAAAATATTAAATGTTTACACATAACCCCTGCAATGCATTGGCTGACCACTAGGGGAGCTAGTAGCCCTAGTTGGGAAACACTGACTTAGAGGCATTAATGCCGATACGGGCACTTATATTAGTTACTTTTTTAACTTATCAACTTTTTAACTTTTCACTTAGATTTTTATGTCTTTTTTCTTAATTAACCTTAACGTTTAGCTGTTCTTCCAGTTTAATTTCCCGTAATCTATTATTCAAGGTCTCATCTAATTGGTCAAAAGCCTAAATCAGATGTACGGCGATTGAGCAGAATCTATGCTGAACGGCCTGAATGAGCGGCCTCCATTTGTAAGGAGAATGCAAGTGGTCAGGATCAGCCTATTAAGGGTTAAATGTAGAAAAACTGAATAGAAGCAAATGATTCGGCATAAAGGGTTAAAACAAATGGTTCTGGTACCAGAAACATCAGAATCTGCAGTGATAAATATTCTGACTGCGGACGGATGTGATCCAGACCGGGTTAATGATGATGGGATCAGGCTGAGCGACCAGCCAGGTTCACCTGCGCTCTGATATTTTCAGTAAAGGGCGTAGAATGAACGCCCCAACGCATCGCTAGCTAAAAGCTTGGCGCTCCGTCTCTCCTTGCGTTGCTTTGCTCCAGCAGCGTCTTTGGAACGACTGTCTGGAGGAAACCGAGTGGTCAGTGGCTGGCAGTGCGTCCACGTGGGAACAGACCACCCACCTTGACGTTGACGTTCTGGTCAAAGCCGTCCATCTGGTTCAGCAGCTCCAGCAGGATCCGCTGCACTTCCCTGTCAGCTGCAGGGAGAAAGGTCAACCAGGTCAATTAGCCGCGCTGCGTTCAAGGTAATCGACAGAAAGCGAAGGCCCGGCCGCACACCTCCGGTCTGAGCGTCGAAGCGCTTGGTGGCGATGGCGTCAATCTCGTCGATAAAGATGATGGCAGGAGCGTTTTCCTTGGCCAGCCGGAAGACGTCCCTCACCATCCGAGGACCTTCGCCCAGATACTTCTGGACGAACTCCGAACCCACCACCCGGATGAAGGCCGCTGCACACAAACGGATCACAGCAAGTTCCAGCCGGTTCCACACTCCATTAACTGGAGAAACTCCTTTGGTTCTACGGAGTCAACTTTGTTACAACATTTTTGCAGAGAACCAGTTTTGTAAATGAAAATATGAAAAAAAAATTCTATTAAGCTTTGAAAAATTTTATGTAAAATCTTTTTCTCAGATCTGTTTTCTAAATTTTATTATTTTATGTTAAATCATTTTTATCAAAATGTTGTTTTTTTATCTTTACAGATTTAATATTTCCATTTTTTTCTCTCTTTTTTAAAATTTTGTTTTAGATTGCAATTTCCAGATTTTTTTCTCTTCACTGCTGGGGGCGGGCCTTCCTCTGCATTTCTATTGGTCAGCTGGACATTAGCAGCATTTCTATTGGTCAGCTGGACATTAGCAGCATTTCTATTGGTCAGCTGGACATTAGCAGCATTTCTATTGGTCCAGAGCGAGAGTCTGTACGGGGCGAAGGGAAGAGTGATCTGTGAAACCCAGTCTGACTAAGAATGTAATTTGGAAAACTCAAACTGAAAAAATTTTTTATTAAAATACTATTTGTGAAAAAAAAATTGATAAAAATTTAAAATAAAATTTTATCACTTGATTTCAAATTTGCTGAGAAAACACAAATCTTCTCCCCAAACCTGTTTTGACTTTAAACTTTTTTTTAAGTCTTTTGTTTTTTTTTCCATTTGCAGACATAGTTCTTTGCACCAATAATGGACCAAAGTTGACTCCGTAGCTTCCTTGTAATGAAGGTTCAGAGACGGCGGTGGGGGACGGAGGTCTCACCGGTGGTGTGGTGGGCCACCGCCTTGGCCAGCATGGTCTTCCCACAGCCTGGCGGTCCGTACATCAGGACTCCTCTGGGGGGGTCGATGCCGATCTGAGCAGAAATGAGAGAAGCTGGATGAGCTGCAGCCTCCACTGGGTCCTAATGACCTGCGCCTCAAAGACATTCCAGGACTGAAAATACAAACCGTCTTTATGGGATTTAGATCTGAAACTAAAACAGAATGAACAAAAACCAGAAGCAAACAGAAAAGTTTTTTATCTGCTCTTTCTTCATATCATGTACATTGTTATTTTGTTAGTCAGATTAGAGAGCAGAAGGCCTTCCTTCACATTGTGGACGTCACGGTGTGTACGGAGGTCATCTAATCAGGACAGCCTTCGTGTCTCTAAGAATACACAGGATATGGGAACATCTTGGAGCCGGTCTGATAGGAGAGCTGCTGTATCTGTAACCCTGAAGCATAGAAGCAAGCTGCATGGAGTTCAAGACATGGATGGCGTGTCAGTTTCTGATACGGACAGCTAAAGCATCCACATGATGCAACACATAGACTCACAAGGTATAAGAAGCAGGAGATGACCTTCATCGGGGCTCAATCTTTGCCGGACGCTTGCGGACGTGATTGTTGAGCCCACAGCTGTGAATAGCTCGAAGCATTTTCTCTGTCCTGTAACGACCTGATCTGGAATAAACTCTGTTACTTTTTACTCCTGTTTTATAGTCCTTTTTATATGTTTTACCCAGTTTGAGTTAAGAGTAGTAAATAACTTGCTCCCAGGAAAAGAACCGGTGAGGAGGCCCCGAGGCGCTACAGCCTTTCTTCCAAGGGGACAAATCCTCCTCATTTTAACACACCTATTATTATTTTTTCATGTAATCCCTTCCGGTAAAACCTGTGCTTTATAACAGCTATTTTTCTTGGAGAGCCGTAGGTGATCGGTTGTCGTCTGCTAATCGCCGTAGTTGCGTTAAAACATGATTTTCCCGTTTTGCAGTTTTCATTTTTGAAAACAAATCAGCAGGGCTCAAAATGTTTGCTTTCATCTCTGTTTGATGACCTATAAATCAGAAATAAATAAATATTTCTTTTTTTTTAATTTACACTTTATAACTGTAGAGCTACACTTGCAGTATTTAGCTACGTCATTTCAGGCTCCTAAAACCCGCTGAGTTTAAAGGAAAAGAAATATTTTGGGGCGGGGCTTATAATTTTCCATCCACTCCGTCTCCAGGAACCTGTTAGTTCCTTTTAGCTCAGCTTTGCTTTTTAATCGTCTGCTGCAGTTTTTCCTCCATCATGGCGGATAGCAGCCCTCAGGACTGAATCTGGACTCATTTACAGGTTTAATAACGTTCCACAATGTGAGATATTATTAGTAGTTTATCATCTTATTGCCATGTGGCCAAGTTGTTCAGCAGGATGAGTCTCAGATTGATAGT